CATAGTTACTCAGCATCTAGTGTGTGCAAAGCACTATGAAAGTTGGGGACTTCAAGGAGGCTTAAGATTCTTTCTTTGCTGTTAATGGGAGAAAGAGAGACTCAAGCTGAGCAAAGGCATAGAAAGAGCTGCAGGAACACAGTTCAGAAGCTACTCAGAAACAAAACAGGAAATGTAGGCATGGCGGTTACATACTAGATATAAAATTATATAACATAATTAATTACTGATTAATTATTTAAGGATATAATTAGTGTAGTAAAGCTAGAACATACTATGGAGATCAATACAAGGGAGTTATAATTCTGACTCTGGCATAGAATATTTAATCTCTGTTAGCTCAGTTTCCATATCCATAAAATTCTCATGATAATATCACCTTTGGGGGTTGGTGAGAGGATTAAATGAAGTAGCAGCCCTGACCAGTTTGGCTCAGTGGCTAGGGCGTCGGCCTGTGAACTGAAGAGTCCCAGGTTCGATTCCGGTCAAGGGCATGTACCTTGGTTGGGGGCACATCCCCAGTAGGGGGTGTGCAGGAGGCAGCTGATCCATGTTTCTCTCTCATGGATGTTTCTAACTCTCTATCCCTCTCCCTTCCTCTCTGTAAAAAATCAATAAAATATATTTTTTTAAAAATGAAATAGCATATGGGAAGAGCCTTGTAGCCTGCCTTATACATAGTAAACCTTCAAGTCATAGAATTATTATATACCTGTTTATTGTCCTTTGGAGAAACCCCATTCACTGTGAGCAGTTCCACACACAACATGCCCCTTCATCTGTCCACTCCCCATCCTCTTGGTCTTATCTCTAGTTCAGGGCACCGTCATTCCTCAGCAGGACTAGGATGACAGCCTCTTAGAAAAACCTTTCTCATGCTTTTGCCCCCCTAAACTTTGTTGTCCATACAACTGCCTGAGTGATTTTGTAAAACATACAATTCAGATCATAAAATTTCCTTACTTTGAATCCTTGATGATTAAAGGATACAAATCAAGCATCTTACCACAACCTGTACGCAGAGGCAGAGCTGTGCGACATATGAGAGTGAGAACACTGGGGGAAAACATGGGAAAAATGATGGACCTCTGTATTTATTTGCTCAGATTGTCATAACAAAGTACCACAAACTGAGTAGCTTAAACAATAACAAGTTTATTTTTTCACAGTTCTGGAGGCTCAACGTCCAAGATCAAGGTGTTAGCAGGGTTGGTGTCTTTTGAGTCCTCTACCTTTTGCTTATAGATGGCTGTCTTGCCTCTGTGTCTTCACATGGTCTTTCTTCTGTGTGTTCCTGTGTTCTAATCTCCTCTTTTTATAAGGACGCAAGTCACATTAGCTTAGGGCCCATCCTACTGACCTTATTTTAATTGAATTCCCTTTTTAAAGACCCTAACTCCAAATATGGTCACATTCTGAGGTACTGGGAGTTAGAACTTTAATATAAATTTGGGAGGACCATAATTTAGCCCACAACAACCTCTTTATGTGTTTCCCATCAGTCACTGCAATTTCTACAAGTTTTTCCCATGTAGTTTTAAGAACTGTTACTATAACATATATTATAAATATGTTGTTTAAAAGATGCCACTTTCAGAATATGTCCACTCACCCTGGTTTTTGCTTTGTCTCTGTGGCTTTTATTTCTTCTCATTCTCTTCTTCACTTGCTTTGCTCCAGTTGCATTGGCCTTTTCCTAGTCCTTAAACACACTACGGTATTTTCTGCCGCTGAGCTTTCCCCCTAAAGTTCTCTGTGCCTGGAATGCGATCATTTCAGCTCTTTCTATGGTTTATGCTGGAAGAGTGGCTAAGAAATCAAGAGTGGCCCTCCCAGTCTCTCACACAATTACCAGCCTCTTTTGTTCCCCTTTTGAATGACAGTATTCTTCCATTGAATTTATTTCTTTATTTTACTCTGACTTCTCCAGTAACATGTTCACTCCATGAGGCAGGGAACTCATTAGTCTCATTTAGCACAGTCAGCACCAGGGCCTAGCATGGAACCTGGCACACAGCAAATGCTCATTCAAAAAAATGTTTATTGAATGAGCATCTCAATGAGACCCCTTTACCCATCATATGTTTTTAGGACCTCCCTCAATCTCAAAGATTTTGAATGCCAGATAAAGCAAATACTGAGCAATGTCACAAATGCCAAGGTTGAAATTCTGAATGCAAAACCTTTTCAAGAATCACTGAAAAGTGATATATTATGTAATCTTTGAAACTACCCATTAATATCATAGAACCATTATGCTTCAAGTAGAATTAGCATAAACCCACACACCTTGAAATAAATTTATAAGGGAAAATGTCATTGGCTTAATTCCTCCCTCTCCTCTACTTCCCCCACTCCCATAGATACCTATCCTGTACATATTTTCCAGGAGCCATACTATCTAAAAACAACAGATGCACATTGCCTGTAAACTGGAGTCAAATGAACATCATCACCTAGGAACCTGTTAGATTTGCAAATAAGCCCCACCTTAGTCCCACTGAATCAGCAATCTGTGCTTTCACAAGGCTTCCAGGGGATTCTGATCCAGTAAAAGTCTGGGATTCACTGCCCTAAGTTGATCTTCAAAGTAACTTTTGATTTTTCTCAAGAATCTTGTCAAACAGTCTAGTTGTCCCAATATACTCAACTTTAATTCTTCTAAGTAACTTATCTCTCCTTGTCCAGACTTACAGTGTAAAACGGTGCTTTTAATACTTTAGTAATTGTCCTTAAGGAACTAGCAGAGTGATTATTCCCACCCTTGGGCCACTCTGAGTGAAATCTCCATCTTCTAAGGTTCAACACATGTTACCCGCTTCCTGGATACCTATCTCTTCCTGGAACAGTTCTGCTTTAATGAGTTATTACTACTATCTTTTTGTAGTTTCAAGTTGCTCATTCAAATAACAATTCAACTAACTTCTCATACGTTCTCTGTTTTCCAAAGGTGTTATTTTTTCAAAATGAAAACTCATGCCCTAGCTGGTTTGGCTCACTGGGTAGAGCATCAGCCTGGGGACTGAAGGGTCCCAGGTTCGATTCCGGTCAAGGGCATGTACCTTGGTTGCAGGCACATCCCCAGTAGGGAGTGTGCAGGAGGCAGCTGATCCATGTTTCTCTCTCATGGATGTTTCTAACTCTCTATCCCTCTCCCTTCCTCGCTGTAAAAAATCAATAAAATATATATTAGAAAAAATAAAAAATAAATAAAAATGAAAACTCATGACAGATCAGCTTGATCTATGCCTTTTCTCTGGCTGAACTTCTAAAGGATATACATATATATATTTTTAGGATACTTATTCAGGAAAGAATTTTCTCATTTCCCTTCAAAGTATTTTTTCTTTCAATGGCTCAGGCTTCATCCTAAACAGGAAGAAATATTCTGATTCATTTTTATGAGGATAACTTTAGACCTAGGGCATTAAGCTATACCAACTTCTCTTTGTCATTTTTGGAATAAATTCATTCACCCAACCAGTATCCAAGGGGAATAGTTTATCTTGATAACAGATGTTATTTTTTTTCTTCAGTATGGAGTACATAGCCCCAGGTCATAGAGTATTATAAATCATCTTGTAAAGAAATGATGTTCAAGAAGACAATTTTTATCTTTGTTAATAATAAAAAGCTATATTATATATACAAATAACTACTATCGTTATTGAACACATTATGTTCTAGAGACAGGAACATGTGATTTACATATGTTATTTCTGTTATTAAAACGTTTACCTCCGAGGATACATGACTTGGGCAAAATCAAACAATTAAAAAGTGTTAGACTCAAATTTGAATTCCAGAATTCTTGATTTTTCACATCGTGCTAAATCCAGGTTGTGGCAATTTTCCTTTGTCTACAGTCTGTGTCAGCCCATTGTCAAGATGCAAACACACCCATATATTTGTTCCTGCACCAGTCTTATTTAGGCCTAGGAAAGAATCTCAGTGTGGCCATTATCAGAAGCAAAGAGAAGCTACTACAGTGGGGCCTTGACTTACGAGTTTAATTCGTTCCGTGGCGGAGCTCGTAACTCAAATTACTAGTATGTCAAATCAAAAGTGAACGAGTGAGACACGTGATGCTGGGCTGATGTTGTGGCGTTCACTGTGACATTTCGCTCTGTCAACTAGCGGTGGGGTATCTGAATCTGGCTCGTAACCCGAATTTTAGCTCGCAACTCAAAGCAAAAAATCGGCCGAGAGATGGCTCGTATCTCGAAAAAACTCGTTAGTCGGGACACTCGTAAGTCAAGGCCCCACTGTACTTAATAAATACTTCTGTGAAAGACTCTCTGGTTCATAGTCTCATATGAGCAGTTTCATTTGATCCCTATCAACAATCTTGCCTTATATGTATGGTTGCTGCTACTGAGGGGATAAGTAACTTGCCCAAGATCACACAGCTTTTAGATGGCAGAGCATGAATAGGTCTGATTTAGAGGAGAGCTTGTCTTTGATCCCAATTGCCAGTGGATGGTCTGCCTATTGTTAAAGGTGACATGAATTATATTTGTGCCTGTTATTTACCAGTATCCTCAACTCTCTGAAGGTACATTTCTTGCAGACTTTATGTTTTTCTCCTCCTTACCTGCGGCTAAGTTCTCTCTTTTTAAAAGCTCACTTCTTTACTAAAAGGCCAATCAGATGACGGACTATAAAAAAATCACAAAGGCTAAAGCTTTTGTTCTCTGCACTGCCTGTCTTAACAGTGCCTGGGGGTGATATATCTTTGAAGAAACAAGTTTCTGGTAAGTAATTGGTATTTTTTGGTTTTGATTTGTTTGGTTTGCCTGTAAGTAAATACTGCTTTCTGGTTTTGTTCTTCTTTTGGCTACATTTTTTTTTTTTTAGAGATGCATTATCTCACTGAAAATTGAAGATGTTTGTAAAAATATGAGATGTCGTATCTGTATTTACTCTTTGATAATCAAAGCCCACCTTGCCTGTAAAATTGGTAATTATTTTTTCACACTTATTTACTTCATACCCACTAGGTCCTGTTACAGAAGTAAAAACTGACATATATGTCACCAGCTTTGGACCTGTTTCTGATGTTGAAATGGTAGGTAGTTAAGAAAATTTAATGCACTTCTTGAGATTTGAAGAAAAGAAACAGAAAAGAGGGCAATTAATATGTATTTTGCTGTCAATCACACAAAGTTAGAGCTAGAAAGTCAAAGAACAGCCTAATTAGGCTCAGAAGTTTATAAGAAGTAAGACATTGAATTTGCATTTTAGCTCTAACATTGGAGTTTTTGGCTTGGAGTCATTTTCAACAAAGAAAAGAACTTTCCTGTTACTGGTCTCCGTGACACAACCTTGTACGTAGTATTCTTTTCCCTTAGAAAATTTTTGAAGGGGAGAAAAGTAGTGATTGCAATTGTTTTTGGTATGAAACTTTATATTGTAGTCCTGATTGCATTTAGTGTTCCATGTTGGCTCAATGGCTCATTCCCCATCCCCACCCGCCCCTCCTCTCCCTTGCTTTCTCTCATGTTTAAGGAACTTAGAACACCAAGCACTGGTCAAGATGAATTCATCCATTCAATTGTGCTAATATTAAATATGTTTTGTTTCAAGGTCAAACATTTTGACCACTTAACTTTTTTACTTGACTCTGGGGCTCCTGGACTAATTTTAACCAGTTAACTGCCAAGCGTCCGAAACAGAAACCAGCTTCACATGCCACGATATTTTGAATTTAATTAAAAAATTAATTTGCAATGAATAGTATAAAAATAAATATATTACTCACAATTCGGGTGTGCTTGAACATTTTCAGTTGCAAATTCTTACAAAAAATGATTTTTAAAGCATCTATAGATGCTTATGGTATACAAAGGGTTAATAAATTTTATGAGCATAAAGTTTATTCATATATTTTAATTTGTCTTAAAGACATGCTGACAATTTTATGGTTCATTGTGCAATGATATTTGTTACACAGTCACTAATTTTGCTACCTGGTCTAAAGTAAAGTGCAACTATAATTACCTGGTGCTGGCAGTTTTATTATATTTACTAGAGGCCCAGTGCATGAAATTTGTGCAAGGAGCTCAGCCCTTGCAGCCCCGGCTTCATCGGGAAGGTCATTTGGCTGTCTGGTCTAATTAGCATATTATACTTTTATTATTATAGGTTATTATTTTTAAAAAATATTTTTATTGATTTTTTAGAGAGAGAGGAAGGGAGAAGGAGAGAGAGAATCATGATGTGAGAGTGGAACATTGATAGGTTATCTCCTGCTCACCTCCTACTGGAGATGGAGCCCACAACCTGGGTATGTACCCTGACTGGGAATTAACCCCCAACCTTCAGTGCATAGGATAATGCTCAACCAAGTGAGCCACACCAACCAGGGCTATAGTTATTATTTGTGAATGATTAATATGTATGGTAATTTATCTAATAAATGTATGGATACTAGTATAACATGCTTTAATTGTCGAAAATCTTTTTGTTCCATTGATTTAAGGAAGTTTCTGCTGCTATTAATTTAGTTTTTATTTGGGCAGTCTTTTATATGAGTGGGAAAGAGACTAGAATTTAATTCATTTTTTTGTATGTTTATGTGTAATCATCTGTTATTTGAATATGTCACAAACTACTTTTCTTAGGAATACACAATGGATGTGTTCTTCAGACAGACATGGATTGACAAAAGACTAAAATATGATGGTCCCATTGAAATTTTGAGATTGAACAACATGATGGTAACAAAAGTATGGACTCCTGATACTTTCTTCAGGAATGGAAAGAAGTCTGTCTCACATAATATGACAGCCCCAAATAAGCTTTTTAGAATTATGAGAAACGGCACTATTTTATACACAATGAGGTAGTCTTTTTTTTCCTTATTCCCTTTTTATCTTTATTCTCCCTCATTTTCCTTCTTGCCTGTCTGCCTTCCTTTCTTCCTTCATTCCTTCCTTCCTTTTAAGATTCTATAATTTTTTTTAGAGAGAAAAAAATTATTCTAATTGTATTTTCCATCATAGACTCACCATAAGTGCGGAGTGTCCCATGAGATTGGTGGATTTCCCCATGGATGGTCATGCATGCCCTTTGAAATTTGGGAGTTGTAAGTTATAATAAAAATTTTGTTAGTGTTAATCATTATCTCATGTAAGCTGATAGCTATATATTTGCATAATTTTACATAATCCTATATTTAAATTTTTGTCCATGACAACAACTGTACAAAATTTGACTTTTAGGAGACTGTTTGTTATCTAATATATTTAAGTAAAGAAGTCAAAACAATCATCTTTCCCCCCAAAACCAAAACCTTATTTCTGCAGATAGCCTAGGTAGACTGGCTGTGTCATAAATAACGGATTAATGGTTAGTGTGAAATTTAGGCCTCTGAACTCCTTGTGTTGGTGGTGTAACAAAACAAGTCATAAACTATTTTGTTTGTTTTGTTTTGTTCTGTTACAAGCAGAGTCCTTTATGGCAGACTTGAAAAGAAAAAGGCCAAAGATGGGTCAGGGCTTTTTGACATGACATAGGTTAGAAAAATATAAGCAGCATTGTTAGTTTCAAAGTGGCTGAAGCATGACAAAAAGTATAGTAGGAGATTGGTCTGATTTGTAGGCAAGGCCAAGAAATATAGTGCCTTTGGAGGGCTTAACTAAGGGATGTGGTGTTCTTTGACTAACATTTCACAATTTCACTTTAGCTTTTCTATGGAGAATGATTGTAGAGAGGCCAGAGAATAAAAGCAGAGAAAATTTGGAGGCTATTGTTTTAGTATAATCAAAGATTGAGATGGCTTAGAATCAGATGGTACTAGAGGAAAAGGTGTGAGATCAATGGATTTGGGATATATTGTGGAAGCAAAAGCAAGAGGATGAATAGGAAAGAATATAGAATTCTTTTCCCCTAAGTTCCCTTCTCTGAAATGGCAGCAAAATTTGACTGCCTCTTCTAATGTTTGCCTCAAATATTTGATTTAATCAGAATTTGCCAAAAATAGATGCTGGTTTTTACTATTGCTTCAGATTCTTAGTCGCACTGATTGTGAAACTTGCCTGCTGTTATCATTGCTCATTGCTTAACTTAATAAGAATCAGCAGTCACCATTCTTTTTATAACCTCTGGTAAGCACAATAGTCAGTGGATGAACTTGAAGCTAAAGATACTCGCTTGCTCCCTGACCAGTAACTCGGTGAAAGAAGATGAAAACAGAAAAATACATAGACAGACAAGTTGTTCTAACTGGGGCCAGAATTAAAATTCATTTGAGCTATAGTAATTTATATTTCACCCAGATAGTTCTTATCTAGGGTTTTATCTTTTCCGCCCAATTCCACCACTCCACTCCTCCCCGCCGCTCCCCGCCCCCCCCCCGGGGGTTCTCATAGAAAGTACTCTTCAGAGTGACTTGAACATAGCTAGTAATCGATAAAGACATGCACAAAATAAAGAAATTACTCCTTGGAAGTTGATTTTTTCAGATTTGGAATTAAAAAGAGAGATACAGCTTTTGATTACCTTCACCCATTTCATGCACCCCCCCCCCCCCAACCTGGCTTCAAATATTAAATCATTAAGAAAAAGATTAGTCTAGCAAGGTAGGCTAGCCCAGAGAAGGCTACCTGATTTAAAATATCAGGGGCAGGAACATAGTATTTGGGCACTTGTAATGTCTGAGTAAGCATGAATACACTCCAGGAGATCAATATTGAGACATGACTATATACTGCTAAATGACAGCACAGGCCTCATAGTTTGTTTTGCCAAGTCCTTTGTAAAGATAGTTTCCCTAGGTATCAACTCCTTTTGTAGAATTAAACAATTCCTCCGAGGACCTACTGTGCTCTAGCCATTTTAGGAAGGTTTGTGGAGCGTAGTACACAATTTATCTTGGTTCTTTTGAACTTACTTGTGTGTGAGCCAGGCTTTCTGTTCTGGGCAGACTGGTAAGCAAGCAGCTGGTCTCCATTTACATTGAACATCGAATAATAGAAAATGAGCTTAAATTGCTGCTGGGAGGGATTTGTTGAAGATGGAAGGAAAAATGTCCTGATTGTAAGAGTTTAAAGGTAGTGGAGCTGGTTGTGTAATTATATTCCCTGAAGAGCTTTACAAACCGCATGGCCAGACAGCATGGGTATTGCCCAAAGGCAGAGTCTGGAATAGGTGCCTCCTGGAGAGCTCTCCCAACAGTAGTGTTTATTTTGTTTTTGTTGTATTATTACAGGCAGCCTTTCATACGTATCTAATTGGCAGAGTTGTATTAGGACAGAAGAGTTAATATTGGTCAAGCATTGGAAGTGAATTGGAATGGAAAGAAGTAGCAATTTGGCTGCTTTTTGGGGGCGTTTATTATTTCTGCTTTTCAACTGCTTATTAGTAGGGAAACATATCCAAGTGCATTGATGCAGATATAGCATTATAGTTGCTTTAGTTTTAGTCTCTCCTCCTTCAATTTCTTTGGCATAAAATAAATATGCAGAAGCTATTTATTTAATATCTACAGTGTTCTAAATCTTAAACGTGTTTAAGTAAGTCATAATGACTGTTGTTTTTCATTTATTCCATCTTTCTTGAACAAGTGTAATATTCTTAAAGCGTGTTCACCATCAATCAGTGCTGAGGAGAAAGGAGTACGGACTCTAATCACATTCTGTGCTCTTATTCAGATGCGTACCCGAAGAGTGAGATGATTTATACCTGGACAAAAGGTCCCGAGAAATCAGTAGAAGTCCCCAAGGAATCTTCCAGCTTAGTTCAGTATGACTTGATTGGGCAAACCGTATCAAGTGAAACCATCAAATCCATTACGGGTGAGATCTTTTAACAATTAAAGTTAATAGCAATGGAGTTTTGTCCTAGCTTTTTAATGGAAATATCTAGTGGGTTTTTTTTGGGGGGGGGAGGGGACAACAAAAATATTCTAGGAATAGAGTTGAGGCATAAATCATAGTTCAGAATTTTTAAATTTATATTTTTAGTTTAAAATAAATTCTGAGTTATTGAGATGTAAGTTGATTTTCTTATTCAGAAATAAAAGCCAGTAATCAGTTATATTAACACTATTTTCAACAGAATTCTGAGACAGGAATCCTGACTCCTGATGTTTGGACACTGGCTTTTCCTGTTTTATTGATACTTTTCTAAAATCTTTTTTTTATCTTGCCCAATTTTGTGGTGCTGCTTTCCCTCTCTTTACCAAAGTAAAAGCAAAATATAAAGCTTAGTTACAAAATACATTGAGGGTATATGTTAAAGATGTCACATGGGTAGATGGATGATTATTCTCAGTGATTCTTGGTCTGTATTTGCTTTTAAAATGTAAATGGAAAGAATCATAAGATTTTGTCTTTATATTTAATGGGAAAAATTGCCTGATTATTGCTTGTTCTGAAACTATTTCTTACATGCACATATTGCCAGGAAAAAGTATTTTTGAAAACATTTATTTTCTAGCCTGCAAGTGGAATTGAAAACAAGTGAGATTTGAGAATTCTGAATCTTTGGTTTCACAGTTTGAGAATGAGGCTACTGACTCCTAAGTCTCTCTTAATATGTTCCTCTTAGATGTAACATTAAAAAATTTATCAACTCAAGAAATCTTATGGTTTGTTTTCCTTATTAGCTTTTTAGATTTTTGTCTAAATGTCAATAAAATATTCCTGAACTTGGGAATGTTATATATGGCTCTATGTTATCTATGTCTCTTTATCCATATATGTATACATATGTATAACATTGAGAAATACAGTTCTTTCCTAAAACTAAGGCAATAAAGCAGCATACTAGTATGCATATATAAAATGTTTATCTGTGTATTTAAATTATTTTTAAATTTAAGGTTTAGGTGTATGTATTTTCATTTTCCAGTGATTTAAAGTTAGGTCTAAATTTTCTCTAAAGATGTTGGAAATGAAATCTAATTGCTTTCATAGTACTAGGCCTTTAAAATAGAAAGCAATATAAGAAATTTTTGAAAGTTATAGCTTACTTTCTTAAATTGCTTAATCACCATGTAGAACAAAAGTGCTTTTCTACGTAATGATATACAATATAGTCCCCCACCCCCAAGTTAAGAACTGTATATTTCTCCATGTTTGTTTGCTGTGCACAACAGATTTTTTTTTTTTTTTTTTGCCTAGAATGCTTTTTGTTAGTCTAAAATATGGTTTGGAAGCCATTGAATAGCTGCAGGACCAATAATACATTTTCATTATGTTTTATTTGTAGGTGAATATGTTGTTATGACGGTATACTTCCACCTCAGACGAAAGATGGGTTATTTTATGATTCAGACGTACATTCCATGTATTATGACAGTGATTCTTTCACAAGTTTCATTCTGGATAAATAAGGAATCCGTTCCAGCTAGGACTGTATTTGGTAATTGAAATTCATTTCTTGTGTATTTTTATTCATATTATATTTGCTCATGATTTCACGGGAATGGCTTTTAGATATAATTTCTAAGAAAATATTAAACAGTAATATATCAGACTGTGCTGAGTAAAGAATCATATAAGCTTTCATTTCTTAACCAGACAAGACAAAGTAATAAGGCTTGAGGGGATATAGGCAGTTCATCCCTTTCTTTGGGGCCCATCAGTTTTCCCTTATTGAGAGCAGGAAAGTGAAGAGTGTGAATCTGGATATAGTTTCACTTTTGGTGGTATTCTTGGGCTCCTAGCCTAATGCTACGTAATTGAATTAAAATTATATATAGGTGTTAAAATGAAATGCACTGGGAGCTTAAAATAAAACAAAAGTCATGGCTGAATGAATATGAAAGTCTAGAATCATTTGCCTTTTAATGAAGAGGAACAAAATGCAAAGGGTTTAGATGCGTTGAGTTGGGAGGTATATGCTTAGGTTATTAGTTCATTGTTACCTATCTACATTTTTTTAAACAGAACATTTTTTTTTTTTGTTTTTAAGGTGGCTTTTTATATATTATATTCTAAACTATATGAAGTCCAGAATATAGGAGTTTTAAACTTTATAGCTGTTAAATAAATCTTTTATATATCAGCCATGCTTTTAAATAAAATTAGTTATGCTATTAGTTATGCTACCTGATTAAATATATTTCTTCATTATTTTCCTGTTGATTGTGAGTAGTGGAAGCATTCAATAGTGATATTAGAAGGAAAAAAAAAATCAGAATTTCTCTGGAATGGAAGAACAGTTCTCACAAGAGATACCAATCTCCCCCTGCCTTTTCTACTTGGTAGAGCCAAAGCCCTGATGTAATAGCCTTTCTCACTGAGAGCTGAAGGGATGCTGGTGAGAAGGAGCTAGGGAGGGGCCTGGGAGCTTTTCATCCCACTTCCCCATCCTGTAGAAAACAAATGATGAGGAGTCATAGTTTCTTCAGTGGACTTGACTATGGGGATTTTCCATAGGCAGCCCCCACCCACCCACACACCTTTAATCTTAGAAAAGGCATTGAAATCTTACTGGGGAAACTCCCAGAAGGGTTGATGGGGGCCAGGGTGTGACCTTAGGAAGGCAGCCAGCTTGTATAATAGCACAAGATACGTAGAGTTGTGAGAATTAAAGAGTAAACTGCACATTGCAAGCATTGAATACATTTAAACTATTAAAAATAGGTGTGGAGCATTATGCTAAGCGAAATAAGCCAGTCAGAGAAAGATAAATATCACATGATCTCACTCATTTGTGGAATATAATGAACAACATAAACTGATGAACAAAAACAGATTCAGAGACAGAGAAGCATCGATCAGATCATCAAACCTGAGAGGGAAGGTAGGGGAGGGTGGGGCCAGGGGGAGAGATCAACCAAAGGACTTGTATGCATGCATTTAAGCCTAACCAATGGACACAGACACCAGGGGGTGAGGGCATGGGTGGGGAGGGGTGGGCGGCAATAGGGGGATAAGGACACATATGTAATACCTTAATCAATAAAGAAAAAAATAGGTGTGGAAGAGAGAAAGCAACAAATCTAAGTTTGGGACTACAATAGTAGTCCAAACTGCAACCTGCCACTTATTTTCTCCACCCATAAAATTGTGACAATACATCTCTTCTTCACAGACTAATGAGAATTTAGATTTACATGCAGTGCTCATTATATACAGGGTGTATGGAGCCCTTAGAACATCTTAGTTACTCTCTCCCATACTTCTCTTATGTAGGGGAGGTTAATTTTGTTCTGACTTGATTTCCTTGACTTTTAATTGTTTTTTAAAGAAAACATTGTTCTGTTGTGTATCAACAGGCACTCTGCTAAGTTATCTCATTTATTTCGTTTAGTGCTCATACTAACCGGACAGGCCGCCTGACCTGGTAGGAAGGATGTGAAGCTGATCACCATATCTGTCCCTTCACTTATCCTAGTATAAATAATATTAACATTTCAGGAACTGTCATCATTAAAAATCAAATCACTTGTGCACATAGTATTCTCATTTTTTATGGTCCTAAAGAATTTCTAGAACAGAAAGACTGACCCATTATTGGTGCCTCTGATGAAGAGGCCATGGTGTCATAGGGCAGACTCTCTGGTTCCAGAAGCCTAGCTTCTAACCCCACGGTCTACCACGGATTAGCTGTGATCCTTCAATGAGTTACTTCTGCCTGTTTCCTCATGTGTCAAAGCAGGATGAGATCCCGAGGGCTGCCATGTGGATTAAATGAGTTAATTTGGATAAAGCACTTGGAACAGTGCCTACCTGACAGTAAATATTATTTGAGTATCATTTATTATTATGGCAACCATGCTGCCACCTGCCTCATTTGAGAATCACAACTTGACGCTATAATGTGAAGGTTCTCTGTATGTCATTGTTAGTGTTTGATAAGTTTTGAAAGTTTTCTTGGTTGGCTACAAACTGGTAGCCACTGTTCTGTTCAGTATATCCCCAAGTCATAAAAACGTTCAGTGCTGTGGGGAGTGATAGCATTGGTCACAGCTGCACCCACCCAGCATTTCCTCTCCAGAGAAGACCCTGTAAGGAAATTAATTAGCATACAGTAAAGATAATGGCAATTCTATTAATAATGACTATAAGATTTGCCATATGCTGATAGGAGACATCTTATTTCATCTTCACAATAACTCAGTGAGTAGGCTATATTAATATTTATGAATAAGAAAAATGACTCAGAGCGATGAAGAAACTTTCATGAAGTCATATACTTAAAAGTGATGGACCCAAGACAATTTCTCTGCCATTTCTACTCTGACATTCTCCCTTTACAGGGGGTAGGTAAAGCTGAGCACCAAATTAGTCCCTTAACGTCTCCTAGTAAAAATAATACTAATATTTCAGGAACTATCATTGTGGCTTGTGGAAAATTCCAGAGCTTCTGAGTGGAGATTGTATGGATATGAGCTGAAAATACTTTGTGGGTAGCCTTTTCAACTTAATATGTGACATTTGCCTCTGTCTTATGCTCATGTGCCAAGATATTTTTTGGTTTTGATTGACCAGCTAAATTATGCCCAACAAGTATGTCCTCAAAAACCTAAGATATGTCAAAATGGTAATAATTAGACTATTCATTGAGGCTCTGGGATGGTATTTTTCTAAGAAAGTTAAGTTTTAAGTATTGAGGGGCATTAGCAATGTATTTCATTTGAGAGTTAGGTAAAAAATTCCAGGCTTGTATTTATCTTCCCTGATTCTTATTTTCCTTTTTGCTCAAGAAGAGAATTTGCTGGGTCAGGTATTCATTAGAGATAATTCAAAAACAAAACACACACACACACACACACACACACACAAAACCAATCCGTGTAAATATGAGAAGTACAGTGAGCTAAATCTCTCCAAAGGCCTTCTATCTCCAAAGTTGTATGCCTTTAAGTTTTCTAATTATTCCAGTATAGTAAAACATTAAACCTGGATAAATGCCAACTGGCATATCTAAGTCATTACCAGTTCATTTTTCTAGGAGTGAGCAGCCAGAATTTTGCTCTTGGGTATAGCCTTAGCCTACTCACACACGTCTTCTCCCAGCTCCTGAACCAGCCAATGCAGTGCATATTCAGCATTCTAAAAACGGACTGGCATCAATACTTGAATGTGTCAAAAATATTCTATGGTTATTGAAATGTTTTCAAGGGTAAATGCCAGCTAAGCCATTGAAACAGATGCACTGTCTTTCTAGATACAGCAAAAGCATGGCTTCTGAGCTGAAGGGTTGGCTTCTGCTTCTTATTCTGTTGGTGTTTATTTAACCAAATGCTTCACCTAAGGCAGGTGGAAGAAGCACATCCCTATCATGCTGGGAGTTCTTTAAATTTGAACTTCTGGCAGAGAGAACTTTTTAATATCTAAAGAGATGGACACTTCAAATATTTAGCCAATTGTTTATGCCAATCACTATCCTAATTTTGGCACCAGTCATAAAATATGAGCCATACTATTTGGAGGGCTACTCCACAAACTTTAAAATCAAGTTGACTCGAAATAATGAAATAGAATTAGAAAGTGGCCACATATCCAACATTTTTTTTTGCATTGATGGCCATAGTATCATTTAACATCCTGAACTTGATGGTTTACCCCTTAACAATCAGAAAGTAATTTTTCAATTCATGGCTCAATAATTGCATTAGTATTCTGCTTGCTCAACATTAATAAGGTAATTTCTTCCTACGACAGCAGGAGAAGAAGAGCGCTACTTTTGGTCCTCAGGATAAATTGTTTTATCCCTTCTCCCCACCCCACCCCGAAAAAAATGTTCAAAGCAACATGAGGAATTCTAAGTTGCTTATATTCAATTTTATTGTTTAGGGTCTTTTTGTTGTTGTTGTTGTTACATTATGATCTCTGTAGAATTTTATGAGTTCTGGGTAGTATTCTTATTAAGCTGTACTCTTCATATTTTATTTTCTACTGCTTTCAGCATAATTTCTATGATGTTAGAGGAAATATACCTAAGAAAGTTGTCGAATTTTCTTGAACACTTAATAGGCCATTAAACTTAAAGTATTATGAATAAGAAGATAAATTAATTTATTTTTAAACTTTGTAGCTAAAATTTTTCAAAACTAATTTAGGATTTATTCAATGCATCTCCCAGCCAGCATGGAAATGATGCCATTTTCCTGAGATTTAAAAAGGAGGCCTTAACTTTGTAAGGTCATTTTCTGAAACAAACTCCAGTAATTTCATATTGCATTTTCATAGAGATTTATGTTTGACCAAAAAAATATTTTAAAATCTATTTTATACTAATAAAGTGCTAAAAATAACACAAAATGTTTTTTAAAAGGGAATACAACCAAATTCTCCAATTCCATTCACTATATAGTTTATGGATTGTTTTAAGATCTATAGCTCGTACACTGCACAGTGTTCTAATTTTTCATGTTCTAAACATTGACAATCCAGAAGGGACTGGAGAGAAAATGGATTGGTGAGGAGCTGAAAAAAAATGAGCTTTTATTTACTGTGCATTTATCATGTGCTTGGCGCTATGATATATATTATGGTAAATTCTGGAGCAATATTAGACACGTTTGCTCTCACAGAGGCTACATCCAATAAAGTTGGAACAACTAAGAAACAATACAAGGCAGGTATAATTAAATGCTGATCTGAGAAGACAAGATAATTTCTCCCCAAATAAAAATACTGTTATTCCTTTATTGTTGTATGAGGCTCATAATCTCTTCAGTCTAACATATATAGTTTGGCTTTCAGCAAGGATAGGCATGGATTGAAATATATAGTTTAGATGCCTCCATCATCATCATTGTTGTCATCATTATCATCATCCCCAAACAACTAGGCGTGTCAATTATGAAGCAATTATACACAATATATAGAATGGGTTTAGTAAATCCCCAGAGAAATATCCAAGCTTAACTAGATAATACAGGTTAGATATAAAGATAGACAATGATAAAGAAAGGGACAACTACTGTACAAATACTAACATCCTTAAATAATTCATTTCTCTATAGTTTCAGTGGCAAGCAGAATTTTTCCATTGAGAATAGGGACTAACCTTTTTCCAGATTGAGGAAAAGGCTCTTCTGGGGGTGATATTCTTTAGGAGCCTACTGATGAAAGGGAAGTACCTCTATTCTTGTTGTAAATATTTTCCTCCCAATCATAAAGTGGTGGGTGGTAGATGTTTAATATTTTTAATACCAAAATGTTCTATAAATCTATTTGTTCAGGAATATACATCTATTGTTTTATATAAATTGTCTTTCACAACTAGTAAATTTATTATTTTAATTCAATAGGTAATATTTAGTTAAAGATGATAAGAATCTACAATTTGTGTTTTTTTCTGGTAGTGAGTCTCAGTAGCAATGGACCATGCCTACCACAAAAAAATGCCCCAATATTCCATGCTACCAACTTGCTACTCCTGGTTGAGAATCAGTGCTTCAATGAGTAGCACTTCCTAGTAGGTGTGTGTGTGGAGTTTCTCAGGTATGTTGGCTCAGATACAATATTACACTAGGTGCCTTATATACTTTTAATCAATATGGCAGACCCAATAGGTTGGTATCAAGTGAGTTTTCATAACTTAATCAAAGGCACACTGAGCCAACAATGGAAAAGCCCATTCTAATTCCATTGAACCACTAGGCTTAGTCTCTTCCATCAAAGATGATTCGGTTTGAATTATAAAGTTTGTTACCCCACCACCCACCCCACCCTCCTTGTTCTGTTTGTTTTTGCAGAGAAGTAATGGTGAAGTATTTTGTCTCTTTGCTCTTTTGCTTTAAAGGAATCACCACAGTCCTCACCATGACCACACTGAGCATCAGTGCACGGCATTCTTTGCCCAAAGTGTCCTATGCCACTGCCATGGATTGGTTCATAGCTGTCTGCTTTGCTTTTGTATTTTCCGCCCTTATTGAGTTTGCTGCTGTCAATTATTTTACCAATATTCAAATAGAAAAAGCCAAAAAGAAGACATCGAAAGCTCTCCAGGAAATGACAGCTGCTCCATTGCTGAGAGCAATGCACCCTGAAACACCCCTGCAGGTATTTGACTCAATTTCCTTCAATTTAAGATTTGAGTTTCTTGGTTACATTTACATTGCGGGGGTGGGGGTGGGGGTGGGGATGAAAACTTGAAATACCAGTGACAATTTGTAAGACATTTAAAAATCCAGGAAAATATGAAGGGATAATTATAAATTTAAATTTTATAATTATGATTAATGACTTAAAGATTAAATAGCTTTGGAAGAGCCAGATGGTGCTGGTTGTTTGAAAGTTCTTTTCAACATTAAACGTTTTTCAGAGAAAGGGGCAGCATCTTCTGTATACTATTAAGAGGAACCTGCGCTTATCTTTGACTGGGTTGGAAATGTGCTTTGAACAGAGTCCACTGAACAGAGTAAAGCAGTGGTTCTGAACATGTGAGAACTATCCCATGGGGCTGGGCAGGGCCTGTGCCCTTGTATTACATAAGGAAATAAAACCTATAAATAGGAAGACCTAGAGTTGTAGTTGATGTACATTGAAGATTGAGAAATCTTCTTGTCAAGGGACAGAGCCAAAGGATGTGGAAACAAACAAGAGCTACTGTAATTCACATTGGACATTTACGTGATTAAAAAAACACAAAAAAAAACCTTAAAGTGATGTTTTCCTTACGGACTCCAGTTGTACAAACAGCAAGATCATCATGAAAGTAAGAAAGCAAACAGGAAGCCTCCCACCTCCCCTTCCCCATTCTCTTCACCCTCCCCTCCCCCTCTTTCTGGGATGTTCTGCTCTCCTTCTTTCACTCTCACTCATTCAGCTTCTTTCTTGGATCAGCAGTGTCTGTGGTCATTTATACACAGCTTTATTGTCGTTGCCACAAATGGTAGCCTAAAACTCCTTTTGTTTGTATGTGCCCAAATCCAAATGTATATAAATCATCAACTTTATTCTCTGTAGGTAATAACTCATTCTCTTACTTGCTCATTCATTCTTTCTCCCCCCACCCCCTATTCATTTAACAAATAGACATTTCATACCAATGATGTACCAGACCCTGTTGATGGTCTGAGAATCAAAAATATACACTCCCCACCCCCAATACAATATCCTACACTACGGAGTTGACATGTAAGTATGTAAGACAAAGAAAAGGAGACATGATATTTTAAAATGATAAATAATAAAGCACTCGGAGTGTTAGCTGATAGTAGTGCTGAGACACTCTGAAGGAATACTGGGGTAGTATGAGGAGGAGGGGATTTTGTTCAGCATACAGGTGATCAGGAAGTAAGTCCTCCGAGAGAAGACGGCAGTTTAACAAATTAGGTTTGGTGTTCACTCGGGCAGGGATTAACTGTTGGGTCCTACAGTTTATAACTCTGCCCCTAGAAGGCCCTGGGTGCTGGTTCTTCTAGAATGGCATGTGAGCTGGTAGGAAAATTACTACCATCCCATTGAGAAAGTTTGGGTAGCTTATTTACATTTTCTTCCAAAGAAATTCATTTCATCAAGATTTTCAAAATTATTACAATGGATTTTGTATACTATTTTCAGTTAAAAACCCTGATTATTCTCTTTCCCATTCCCCGTAGGTAGCCCTCTCTGCCTTTTACTCTTATTTGCTTTCCTTTGTTGATTTGAGATCTTGGTAGAATAATTCTATTTACTGTTCCTTATTTATTTATTTATTGTCTAAAGTTCTACATATGTCTCTGCCTTCCCCCCCTCCATTGACCCACCCCCCAACCATTCCCACCCCGGGCAGGCTCCCACCGCCCCAGTGTCTGTGCCCATTGGTTATGCTAATATGCATGCATACAAGTCCTCTGATTGCTCTCTAACCTCCCCTCCCCCCACCATTTGTCTCTGAATCTATTCTTGTTTATCAAATCATGTTGATCAGTATGTCCCACATATGAGTGAGATCACCCTTTTTAAAACATATCAATTCTTGGATATATTTATTTGTTTAATTTCAAGTTAATTCTGTTAACTCTTTTACCTAGCTTCTTGAGTTTAATTCTCACTTATTTTCATGGCTTTTTATTTAATAATAAAGTTTCTCTTATTACAATGAGATTTCCTTTGGATATAGTTTTGACCATACTCATAACTTTCTATATTGTCATAATTATTTGCGAAATATTCTTCAATTATGTTAATGGTTTTCTCTATAAGCTAAGAATTATTGGGAAGAAAATATTAAAGTTTCCAAATGGGATTTTGTTTGTTTATTTAGCTCCCTGTTTATTTTTAGCTCAGAGATGTTACCTGTGTAGATTTGAATGTTGTTGATATTTTTGTTACCCCCTGAGTTATGCTGAAAGCTTATAAATGTTTAATGGCAATTTGAAAGTTAATTTTAGTTATTAAATCAATTTTACTTAAAACATCATTATATCACCCTCTTAATCAGTTACCGCTTCTTAATCATTCAAATACCAAAAATGATATGAAAAATCTTCTTACTAATATTATGATTATTTATGTTTGTTTTGTATTTTAACTATTTTTGTTTTATACTCTTTGATATGTGACACTCAACATGTAAACATTTATAACTGCTCCATTTCTATATTAGTCTATGCATTTAATCATAAAATAACTTTTCCCCCCATATAATGCCTTTAGCTTCTAATTATATTTGGTCTGGTTATAATATTTTAAAACATTATTTCTTAATATTAAGGTTTGTAATGTATTTTTATTGTTAAAATTTTCATATTCTTTTGTTTCTCATGTACTTTGGAAGCTATATGTCATCGTTTTATATCACTGGTGGTTAATTTTAAATTTTAGATCAACATATTTCTACTTATGATTTTCTAGTAATGTTGAAATTATAAAGTATACTGACTCTCCCATATAGCTATAAACTCCCTCTTGACCCAGTAGTTGCTCATTTCCAAAGATTCTAAATGTAGAAACATTTTACATATATAATTTTTTCTGTTTATAGTGAGTTGCTATAGTTCTTTTTTCATTTTTGCAAAGTAATGAGACTCCTTGCACTAGTATTAGAGTAGAATATTATAAATACTTAAAAGTGCCACTTAATCAGAATAAAACTATTTTTCAGAATTTCCAAATGTAGGAACAAAACCCATAATATTTTATTTGCTCCTTGTAACGTATCTCTTCACTATAGTAATTGTCACTGCTGGTAAATGCTTGGCTGAGCACATCCAATTGGCTAAGTCTGCTCTGATTTCAGCAACTCCTGTTGACAGCATTGGGTCACGTGCTGTGTGCAAATGGCATATTCAAGATCAAGAAGATGAAATTTGTGAAGGGCATAGAGTCTTAGCATTTAAAAGTTGAAAAGACATTTTATAATAAATGTAGTTAAAATATCCATCGTATGCTTTATGTCCTCTACAAGTGTACTGTATATGTGTGATGACTTAGATCTCCTCAGCAGTTTACTTGGAGAATGTCTGTGTTCTAAAGACAGTGATTAATGGGTTGGCATACCCAACCTCCTGACTCCAGATTGCTGCCAGAGCACAGCTGGCTTTGGAGTGTCAGTTGCCATTGAATGGCTTCAATATTAAGTTCAACTTTTAAGGTTGAGGATATATTAAAATTGAGGGAGAGAGAAGAAAATAAAAGGATAAATAAGGAGGAGGAAATCAAGGGGAAAGGTATGTTAAGAGCAAAATTTTAAAACACTTTAGTGTAAATAAATATTCTGGAATCTTATAAGATTTGGTGTTTCAGTGGAGTTTCTGATCAGATAGGTGAAATTTGCTAATTCAAAGATGTGTTTCAACTTGTATGGCTGTTTGCTTATTTAAATGATGTTTAAAATGTGCTTAAAATCCTCCTCTGTTATTGCCTTCAGAGTCTACATCAGTAGTGGTTTGACTTATTGTTACTATATGGAATCTATAAACTGTTAATGGCCTGGCAGAGGTTTACAGTGACCATTTCTATTCTTTGGGAATTGAAAAGCTTATGGTTTATGGAATATTCATGAAGCAAGGGAAAAAGGCCGATTGGCAGGATCTAATAGCAACTATGGGCAGCTTGAATATGTCTTTGAGCATCTCACGAGGCAAAGGCAGCTGTTCTGTTTTGACTCAGCATCACTCTGATTCTGCCTTTGACTCTGTCCTTTCAATGTTTGAGTTGAGGTCCATTCTTGTGGTTCTATCCTTCCATACCCTTGCTACTTCTTAGAGTGTCTACTGTCTCACTGATGCAGATGATTTGGACTAATAGGGTATTTTGAAAAATAAGTAACAATAAAATAAAAAGGAAGATTTCTTAATCAAATTATAATTTTTTTTTTAAAAATCACTTGAACATAGAGTCTGTGGTCCTTATTCAGTCGGAAAGTATGCATTAGTGTACCTACGTATTGAATCTTGTGGGAAAAAAATAATGATATAATAACTAACATTACTTGAGCTCTTAAATTGTGTTAGGTACTATGTGATATGCTTCAGTATATTGCATAATTTCAAGCTCACAGTAACTATTTTAGAGATGAAGAAACTGAGGCTTGCAGTTAGTTGTTAAGTGACATATTCAGAGATAGTAAACCCAATATTTAAATTAATTCAGCTGTGTGTGAGTACAGAGCTTTTTCTCTGATACTGCATTTTATACTATTTATGTCTATAAAGAAGATATTAATCTATATAATAAAGAGCCAGGGTCGTTACAACCGAAGGCTCGACTGGACAGGAAGTCAGTGCTGGGTTGCCATGGTCGGCGCCGCTGTAGGTGCCTGGACTCAGCACTGACTGCCTCCAGGGCTGCGGATCAGGCCTGCAGAGAGAGAGGCAGGGTCTGATCCATAGCCTCTGTGGCAGTCGTTGATCAGAACTTGCCTCTCTTTCTCTCCCGGCCTGGCCAACAGCCCCGCCTCTATTTCTCCCCAGGCCTCCACCTGGGCTCAGCCCTGCCTTTCTGATCAGGCCCCGTTGATAGGCCCAGAGACACTGACTGGCATAGAAACTGACCAATCAGAACCAAATTGGCCGGCAGAGGAGGGCAGCTGAGGGTGAGATCAGGCCGGCTGGGGAGGGCAGTTAGGGGTGATC